CTTAAGATCAGTGAAATCTAAAGAATATATTCTAGGAAGAAAGTATATCTCAAACCTGTACTGGATGAACAATAAGTTTAGTTCAGGTAAGTGCATTGAAGATTCCCGGGGTTTTTCTTTAAATTGTGACTTAAATTACATTGGAATCATTTGACGCTTAGCATCAGTAAATAATATTAAACCCAGAAAAATTACTAAACCTGTTGCAAGATAAGCTCATTATCTTGAACCACAGCAGGCCGGTCAGCAGGCTCTTCAGGAAGTGCTATAGCTTCGTTGGGTAGAGCTATTGCTCCGTCGAAAAGGGCTCCAGCTCCGTCAGATATGAATGTAGCTCTGCTGGGAACTTCTTCAGCAGAGGAGGGATCGTTTCTGTTAGTCGCAGCTTCAGTTGACCTTAATAAAGCGGTCTTTTAAATTTTGATCAACAAATAAAAAATCTCCAATTAAATTCTAAAAACAATGATTAAATCAGTATATTATAGGCATTAAGCAACTATGTTTTAGTGGTCATGATTGATAAATAAAAACAAACCTGTAATTGCTGTTCTCCGAAAGAGAAGGCTTCGCCAAGAACTGCTGTTCCCCCGAATCAAAAACCGGTTCCTTAAATTTGACATGTCGTCTTCCTTCAACATCGCGACAGTCCTCCATTTTGTTTATATTAATATCATTAGACGTTCCAGATTTAGGTTGTTNAAAACCGGTTCCTTAAACTTGACATGTCGTCTTCCTTCAACATCGCGACAGTCCTCCATTTTGTTTATATTAATATCATTAGACGTTCCAGATTTCGGTTGTTTCAGAGACGGTTTCCTTACTGTTTGAGAGTTAACTTCTTGCAGAAACCCAGGGGCAGAACTATTTCCTGGGTTAAGAGTAGACATGACGGGGTTAAGTGCTGCGAACTGACCATTCATTGATTGATTTGGCAGGTTTCTATTAAACTGGTTTTCTTGCAGGTTTCCTGCTACCTGATTACCAGCTTCCTGATACTGGAGGTTTCCCAACTGGCTTTGTAGTGATGCGAACTGATGGCTTTGAAAATTTCCAGGAAACTTGTTGGGTAGAGACCCAGGAAACTGGTTGGGCAGATATCCAGGAAACTGTGGGTGTGTATTGCCAGGAAAATTTGCCTGCAAATTTCCAGAAACTTGTGTCCTATCTGTAAAAAATTGAGCATACGGATTTCCAGAATACTGATTCTGAAAGTTCCCAGGAAACTGGTTCAGTAGATTTCCAGAAAATTGATTTGGTAAGCTTCCAGGAAACTGATTTGATAGGTTTCCGGGCAACTGAAAAGGCGAATTTCCCAAGAACGGATTCTGGAGATTACTAGGAAACTGGCTCTGGAAGCCCCAAGGAAGGTTTCCAAGTAGCTGATTCTGTTGGTTTCCAAGGAGCTGATTCTGTTGGTTTCCAAGGAGCTGATTCTGTTGGTTTCCAAGGAGCTGATTCTGTTGGTTTCCAAGGAGCTGATTCTGTTGGTTTCCCAAAACCTGGGCTTGATCCAGCACAAGAATCTGATTCATCAGTGCAGGGTTGTTAAGAAGAGCAGGGTTCGTCTGCAGAATCTGATTGAGGAGAAGGTTAGGAAATCCAGCAGGCTGACCATAACCCGGAGCAGTTGGGGTCGAGATTGAACCCTGAGGAGAAAAGTTTGTAAAGAGACATTTTAGTTTAAATAAATAATAATTGCCATACAATAGAATACCTGAGGTTGAAGAATGGAGGGCGTAGAACCCGATAAACTAACGCAAAAAGATACAATTTTAAAAATTTTAAATACAGTGAAAACCAGAAAACTCTAAAATAAGAAGACGACCTTTAGAATCAAGTTATAACTTTTAAAAGTTCAATGAACATGTATGTAGGAAGAACAAGGATTTTAAACTGTATCTGCCTAGTGGTAAGATTAGTGACGGATGTCTGAGAAGCTGAACCATGACATGGAGTAGGGTCTGAGGAAGGATCGGAGAGAAATTCAGCAGAAGATCCTGAGTTCTCCGATTCCTGCAAATTAAAACCCATTAAATATTGAGCTCAGTTCTTTAACCGTGCAACAGCGGTTGCAATATTGTACAATTTTGAAGGGGGGGGGGGGACCAAAAATGTTTGCAAATATGCAGAAGATCTTTTCCAGGAAGAAAACTCGCACACAGAAACAAGTCCAGACACAACGATTGGAAGATCATTCACAAAAGATAATTTTTGTTCGATATTACCTGCGGCAATTGCGCATTTTCTGCCTGTGCATCAGCAGCTGATTTTTGAGATTTCTTTTTCTTCTTCCGATCAGCTTTAACAGGTTTTTCCCCATCCTCGCCACCGTCAGGCTGTTTCTTCTCATTAGAAACAATATTTAAGGAGAGGTTTTTATCCTAAAAATGTATTCCCCCCACCAAATTTGTTTGCTTTGCTCTCAATCTATTTTTTTTAGGTAGGATACCATCAACATTTAAATAATAGTTGGGGATAAAATCAAAAATTGTATTTCTCTCTGAATTAATGAATGTTTTGACAGAATTCACTGCTTACCATTTTTGCAGAAACCGAATTTGCTTCTGAAGGAACTTCATTTAAAAAAACGAAAAACAAATACCTCGACAGAGTTCTGGTTTTGATCAGGATGGTTTGAATTATTCTCTAGGTTCTTCAGAATACGCTCCTGGGTGCTCTCAGCTCTGGATTAAAAGAATTGGAATGAGATTTGAAATTAAATATGGTTTGATCTAGACTGAATAAGATCTAGAATTAGATTAGAACTAGAATTAGATTAGAACTAGATTTAGATAAGAACTAGAATTAGATAAGAACTAAAATTAGATAAGAACTAGAATTAGATAAAAACTAGAATAAGATAAGAACTAGAATTAGATAAGAACTAGAATTAGATAAGAACTAGAATTAGATAAGAACCAGAATTATATAAGAACTAGAATTAAATTAGAACTAGGATTAGATTAGAACCAGAATTATATTAGAACTAGAATTTGATAAGAATTAGAATTAGATAATAACTAGAATTAGATAATAACTAGAATTAGATAAGAACTAGAATTAGATAAAAACCAGAATTAGATAAGAACTAGAATTAGATAATAACTAGAATTAGATAATAACTAGAATTAGATAAGACCTAGATCTAGTTAAGAACTAGAATTAGATAATAACTAGAATTAGATAATAACTAGAATTAGATAAGAACTAGAATTAGATAATAACTAAAATTAGATAAGAACTAGAATTAGATAAGAACTAGAATTAGAACTAGATCTAGATACGAACTTGAATTAGATAAGAACTAGAATTAGATAAGAACTAGAATTAGATAAAAACTAGAATTAGATAAAAACTAGAATTAGATAATAAACTAGAATTAGAAAAGAACTAGATTTAATTTTAACTAGGATTAGATTAGAACTAGAATTAAATTAGAACTAGGATTAGATTAGAAACCAGAATTATATTAGAACTAGAATAGAACTAGAATTAGATTAGAACTAGAATTATATAAGAACTAGAATTAGATAGGCACTAGAATTAGATTAGATATAGGATTATAGATTAGATTAAATTAAAGATTATAAATATAGAAATATAATTGTATTCGGAAAAACTAGAAGTAGAGCTAGTTAAGAGGAAAACTGGAATTGATAAGATTAGAGTAAAACTAGAATTATGTTAACTCAAATTAGAAGATTAGAAAGTGGAAGACGATTTAAGAGAATGGTTCTTCCGTGCAAGATTTGTCTAAAAGTCGTCTTACTTAAACTTCTCATAGTAAATCATCTGAAAGGGGGAGGGGGCGAAGTACATGTATCCACCCAAATCCCCTTTAAATAAAAACCGCAAAACTGTGTGTCAAGTCTCTTGTACATATTTGTCTGCACTACAAACTTGAAAAAACCCGAGATGATTAAAATATATATTTAGAGGTTTATTTATCTACCTTTTCCTGAGTATCTGCTCCTGTAGCACTCTCAGCTTCTCCTGGTTGAACCTACAGAGCTCCAGGTGTCCGGAGAAGTAAGGAAGTGTTCGAAACTAGTTTTTTAAACAAACTTTTTCATTTAAAATTCAAAATAATTTTATTATCGTTGATATCTGGTAGTTTTAATTTACTACTGAACAGTAATCCACAAAATGCTTAATCAAGTAATTAACAGATCTGCTTAAAAACTATCTACGACAGGTGATTAATTATAATCAAAACTTTAAAATAAATATTTGAATTGTTAAGTTTTCCTGTTTATTGCAGCCATGGCACTTGTACATTCCATTCCGTAAACTAAATACATGACAGAATTAACTACAGACCAACACTTTTCTGCACTGCTATATAAATTACAAAATAATTAGACTATCTATTCATTACTTAGAAAACTTCTCTAACATGTTATTTATTAGACAAGAATTTTATCAAAAGATTTTTATGAGAAAAGGTTTTACCTGCGCTCATCTGTAAAATGTAAATCTTACCTGCGCCCATCTGTAAATTGTAAATCTTACCTGCGCCATCTGTAAGCTGTAAATCTTACCTGCGCCCATCTGTAAATTGTAAATCTTACCTGCGCCCATCTGTAAATTATACATCTTACCTGCGCCCATCTGTAAAATGTAAATCTTACCTGCGCCCATCTGTAAAATGTAAATCTTACCTGCGCCCATCTGTAAGCTGTAAATCTTACCTGCGCCCATCTGTAAAATGTAAATCTTACCTGCGCCCATCTGTAAAATGTAAATCTTACCTGCGCACATCTGTAAAATGTAAATCTTACCTGCGCACATCTGTAAAATGTAAATCTTACCTGCGCACATCTGTAAATTGTAAATCTTACCTGCGCCCATCCGCAGTATCTGCATCTTCACTGCTCTCTGAAGAGATTCTTATCTCCCTAGGAACTTCTTCAGGTTTTTCCTGAACCAAGAAATATTTCCGAACTCATTCCTTCAAGAATCTTGAAGGAATTTGTAGGATTTAAAAAATTATTCTTTTATAAAACAATGACAGACGTCCTAAAGATGTTCATTTCCTAACTAGGTTGAAAACCCAGCATTGCAAGGAAACCTACTCAAGTCGATCTTTTAAGCCAAGCTAAGAACTTTCAGAATGAAAGCTCTTAACATGGTTGCTGAATAATTACTGAAGTAAACAATGTGTATAAAGGAAAAGTGTATACTGTGTGGTGACCGCCAACCTGTATAGTGTATATAATGTAAGTTTGTATGTGTGTTTATATCCTTGTAGTACGGAGGGAGGGGGGAAGGGAGTAGTGCGATATTGAACAATACCTTAAACTTGTTACTATGTGGTTATGAAAATTTTAAGGAGGTGACCAAATTAAAATGTAAAGTATTGCAAAAGAATATAAAATATAATTTTTTAATGATTCAAATGTAATTTATTTATATATTCCCAAATATTTGTAAACAATATCTTCCATTACATTTAGTACATTTAAAAATTTAATGTTTTATCTTTAATCATATGCAATAATTTTTATTTTAGAATAGTCGCGAATTTATCCTAGTGTAGCGTCTTTATAGTGTAGCGTTTTTATAGGGTAGCGTTTTTATGTGGTAGTGTTTTTATAGGGTAGCGTTTTTGTAGGGTAGCGTTTTTATAGATACACCGGAAAGACCAATGAGATAAGAAAGTGTTGTCTGAAAACTCTGAGCAGGATCTGTGAAAAATGGATAACTTCTTCATCAGTATTCTTGACATTTCTAATGTAACCATCAATTAATTCACTATGTATTTGTGTACATCATTTATAGTACTAAACTTCATCCAATTTTATAAAGCCTGGTTTATACGTGTTCTCATTCTCTGAGGATATTTAAAAACAAAACTCAAACATTTTGTTTTGAAGAAAATATAGTACATTATTTAAGTTTAGATAGGAGGGATGAGATTACTTGAAAGCTACACTCCTTTACTTTTCTCTATTCACACATACCAAGAGGCGGACAGCTAGTGCCTAAAACCTTAAAATTGGGACTGTCTTGGGCTTTGGGGTCTCTTTAGAGATTAAGAATTAAGTCTTTTGAACAGTCTCAACGTCCCAAAGTCCTGGGACTGTCCTGGCTTTTGAGTCTCGCAGGTTGAGAAATAACCTCAATGGTGTTGGGACTCTGGATCTTTAAGACAGTCCCAACGTTCCGGGCTTTTGGACAGTCCTAAAGTTCTGAGACTGTCCCAGGCTTTTGGGTCTCTGAGATTGAGAAATATACCCCATGGTGTTGGGTCTTTGGGACAGTCCCAACATCCCAGGCTTTTAGGACAGTCCCAAAGTTGTCTTTGAGACAGTCCCGAATTTCCAGGACTGTTGTGGGTTTCTATGACAGTCCCACAGTCCTGGAACTGTTAGGCTTTTGGGTCTCTTGAGATTGAGAAATAACCCCCATTGTGTTGGGACTCTGTGTCTTTTGAACAGTCCCAATGTCCTGGGACTCTCCCGGTATTCTGGGACTGTCCAGGGCTTCTGGGATAATTCCAAAGTGTTGGGACTGTCCCAAGCTTTCGGGTCTCTTGAGATTGAGCAATAAACCCCATGGTGTTAGGACTCCAGGTCTCTGGGACAGTTGTAATGCCCAAGGACTGTCCTGGGCTTCTGGGACATTCCCAGTTCCCACAGTCCCAGGCTTTAGACTATCTCAGATTAAGAAATAAACCCCATTGTGTTGGGACTCTGGGTATTAGGGATAGTTCCAATTTCCAGGACTGTCCCGGACTTCTGGGAAAATCCCACAGTCCCAGGTTTTTGGCTCTCTGAGATTAAGAAATAAACTCCATGGTGTTAAGACTCTGGGTCTTTGGGACAGTCCCAAAGTCCTGGGACTGTCCCATGCTTTAAAGTATCTGAGATTGAGAAAGAAACCCCATGGTTTTACAGTCCCATGTCTCAGTGCTGATACAAGTAAATTAGGATGAGTATAAAAGGAGAAACAAGTAAATAAGGATAAGCATGAGATGAGAAACAAGTAAATTAGGATGAGAATAAGAGGAGAAACAAGTAAATAAGGATAAAAAAATTCGTGGATTTTCAAAATTTTCAAAAATTTAGTAAAGATCGAATTTTAATGGAGACAAATATTTAAAATTTTGATCATTCATAAACCTTCCCTGTGGTCACGTGATGTCCCACAAAAAATTTGGGCCCAATCGGTTCAGCCGTTTTGACGTTTATTGGATACAAACAGACAAACAAACATCAAAACAAACAAACAGACAGACAAGCCATATTTATATATAGATGGCATTTAGTCTTTTACTACTCTTCATTGGGATGGGTTTGTTTGATAAAGCTTTTTAGAAAACTCATTATAAAGTAAAAATCAATGTTATCGAAAAAATATGAATGAATTTTTTGTCAATTGAAACATCAACCAACCTAAGATTTTTTTTGAAAATATTCATGCAAATTTACTGAAATGAGTCAAAAAACAAGCGGGGGAAAGTGTATTTCCAGGCTAGAAATCCGTACAATTTGAAAAAGTCCGTACAATCCGTACAATTTTAAGGGTAAAAAAATAAAAACCATACAATCCGTGCATTTTGGCAACCCTGTATATTATATAGATTCACATAATTCACATTACATATATATATCCTACCTCCTCTAGCTCCAAAAAGATCTGTTGATCCTTGAGTATGCTCCCAGTGAGACAATCCACTGCCGACTCAGCTCTCATCTTGTCCTTGAACTTGATGATGGCAATCTTGGTTCTCTTCTTCACGTCGGGGTTGTTGTACAACTTCAAATCACTAAACATAATTCGATATTATGTTGAAATACATGATTAAGAACGTAGAATGTTTACAAATCCTTTCCTGGGAGGAAGGCATATTTAAAATAAAGCTCTTCGCACAATAAATATATGTTTGCTATAGCTGGCCAAACGGCTGAAGAAAATTGGCTGAAATTTTTTCAAATACCCCGGGGTTGACAGGCTAAATTTTTTAAAAAAAAATTTGAAATCCGACAGGCAACACCGGTCACTTCAGCTATAATCATAATTTAAGACCAAGCGCAGGCAAACGGTGGGAGTGACTATTAGTAACCGGGGCAACGCTGGGCACTTCAGCTAGTTGTATAGTAAGCTTTAAAATATCTTTCTGAAAGGGACTAACGACATAGTTAAAAGAAAATTTAGAAAGGTTTGTACGAGGGCGTATAAAGGGGGGGGGGCAAGGAGGCAGCACCCCCCCCCCATGACTCAGAGCTATCACACATATAAATGAACGAAGAGATTTATTAAATAGATTACAATTTTACTTTTTTTTGCACAACAGAAACTTTTACAAGTCATAATTATTTTCTGGACCTTTTACTTTTTCTTAAACTCGTAGAATTTAAGTTAAAGTTGAGTTTATCATTTTCAAAAATGTCTTTTACTATCTCTAGTTTATACTAACATAATATAATAAAATATCGATTTTTTAGAAACATGTTTTTTTCTGCTAGTTTTGTTTGAAGGAGAGATAAAGTAGTTCTTGCAAGGTAATTGTACTGCATATGTAGCTTTAAAGTATCTTATACTTTAACTGATATCCAAGAAGCCAAATATTTTGAATTTACTAAAAAAAATTTGCCCCCCCCTAGATTTATTTCTGTTCACGCCCTTGGGTTTGTATGCTCAAGAATAAATTATTAATTTTAAAATTATATTTTTTTCAACTATGGTTTCACTATGGTTTTACTATAAAGTCATTTGCGGATTTCTGAGCTATCGAAACAATGGTAGAAATTGTCAGAATTAGACACTTTACACACTTTACACACTTTAGAATAAGGGCAATTCTTCCTCCTAGTTGTTACTGCTGTGAGTCGGGCGTACCGCTCTAAAAAATTGTTGAAAAGTATTTTGTATGTTATGAGCAAAGAACTATATACAGGAACGCCCAACTCAGATATACGCATATTGTGTACTGTACTCTGTGGGAGGAATGTAAACAAACCAAGTGCCCCTTCAGAAGTTGAAGGGAAAGGACTAAAGCTCTGATGTGATATTACAGTACAACAAAAAACAAGTTAATATATCAAGTTAGAGCGAATACTTTTGATTTTTGGCTTCCTGGTGATTATGAAAAATAATAGCAATATATTTTTATTCCACCCCTTAGGCTCTTTTCCATAAAAAAATGATGCGTTGCCCCTGAATTTTTTGTTTTGATCTCCTCCCACCGCAGGCGCAGTACACAGATTTGACGCATGAGATATGGCGGTTCCTGGTCTATATATTTCTTGGGTATAAGGAACTTATTTTCTCTCTTTTAAGGGATCATGGATGTAATTCCATTTAAAGCGATGCATTCCCGATTTACAAGGGAACCCTTTACACCGTTAACTGAGGAAGAAAACCGTTTTTCTCACTGGAATTTTTTTAAAATTCTGGCTGTTTTCTTCGTTGTCACTAATGCATCAATACTCAAGAATCCACAGTAAGAAATTATCAATTTTTAGGAATTATCATTTGAATCCTTTTCATTCTGTATACCTGATATATGGTTTAAACTGTACTAAATGGTTCGCTACGTCCTCTTTCGAAGCCAGATTTGAAATATTTGCGATGTGCAGATTCATTCTGATGATTTAAATCTGAACAAGAGTAAAAGGTATATTTTGATATTAGGCAACACAATCTATTTTAGATTATCAGCGCGGGATGGACCACCTTCTAAAAATAATGTTTAATAAAAAACAGAAACTAAAACTAATAAAACAAAAGGGGAAAAATTCTAACAATAATGACTAGCAGAACTGAATACCAGATATGACTAGCAGAACTGAATACCAGATATGAATAGCAAAAATGAATACCACATGGTAAAAATATAACAAAATACTAGCAAAAATGACTTGTGAAACAGGGACTTGCCCAAATAATGCATATGATATGATTTATATTGAACTTTAACAAGTTAAAAGTATCAGAGTTCTGGAAGGTCTTAAAATTGAATATATACAGTCAAACAATATGTTCTGTGGCAAATATATGATTCTTTCACGTTTTCTCCAACTATCATAAGTATCTACTGAAGGAGAAAATTCACATTGTTATTATGGAAAATTTGTTTAAATGTGAATAATAAATAAGAAATTGGATTAAATTACTGCTTTTAGTTTAATTTTAGCGCGCAATTATGCCCCCCCCCCTGAGATATTGGTTAAATCCGCGACATTAGGGGGTAGGGTGAGGTCACAAAAAAAGCGCAAATATTGGTTAAATCCGCCCCTGTAGAAGACATATGCAATTTGAATATTCAATGTTCACATATCACGTCAAACCGAAGTCTCTTCAATTGAATTTTCGCCGTGCATGTTTGAACTTGATCCATGGGTACCCATGACTTGATCGGAGTAACGGAAGCGTACAAGGAGGGGAGGAAGGCCAACCACATCAATCTCTAGTCCGAACCACATTCTCATCATTTTCTCGTCCGAACCACATCGAAATCCTTGTCCTTTCAATATTATTTTTTTTAAGCGTCCGATCCTTGAAAATAAATACAGTTTTTAAAAATATGGCGACGTTAGGGCATACAACATGTCTAGAATAAAGTTTTCCAAGGATTTTGAGATGTTGGAATCTTCAAATCCACGAGAATGATGACAAACATTATTTAGGTTAAAAATTGAATCTCTTCTGCCTCCAAAATGGATAACTTTCACAAATAAAAATTTATACCAAAGAATTCGTGTGAACATGGTCTTTAATCTTTCCATTTCAACCCAAACAAAATAATCATGGATTTCTGATTTATTTACAAATAAGGTAGATTTGTTGTCCCCACATAAGAGATCACTACTGCCTGCCGCATGCTTATAATTATAGAAAAAATAATGTTCAATTTATATTATTCAAATCATTTGCTACAATTAATTGGTCAGAACCCTATGAATTCAAACAGTATTTAATCATATAAAAATTGTAAGTCATATCTCTAACCCAAATTCAGCTTGAATATTACAAAAAGTTGTTTACATCGAACTGAGAATGTTTTGCGGTATTTTCCGCAAAAGAAAGGGCTCTTAAACTCCTTAAACGCTTTTTTGTAGAACATCGTTTATGGAGCATTTTCATTTTAACAGAAATCTAAAATTTAATTAGGAAAATTTGATATTTCAACTATGCCCTAACGTCGCCATATTTTTTAAAAATGTATTTATTTTCAAGGATCGGACACTTTTGGGTCTGTCCTAGTATACGATTTACCCCCCCCAGCCCCCCCCCCCTCCTATCAATTTTGTACATGACCATTTATTTTTCAGCAAATTTATTATTATTTCTTTTTTTGTTATTTATAGGGTTAGGTTAGGTTAAGGAAAGGCCGAGCGCTGCGGCCACACTTTCTGGGCCGAGCGCTGCGACTAGGATGGGCTAGGGGGCCGAGCGCTGCGGCCACGGGTTAGGTTAANATTCATTAATATGTTCTCCAGCCCGTTTTTATTACATTCCATTTTAAAATCCATTCTTCAATCCTATCTTTAATCCATTCCTCAATCCACTCTTTAATCCATTCTTCAATCCATTCTTTAATCCATTTTTGAAACAATTCATTTATATGTTCTCCAGCCCGTTTTTATTACATTCCATTTTAAAATCCATTCTTCAATCCTATCTTTAATCCATTCCTCAATCCACTCTTTAATCCATTCTTCAATCCATTCTTTAATCCATTTTTCAATCCATTCTAAAATCCATTCTTCAATCCAATCTTTAATCCATTCCTCAATCCACTTATCGCCCCCTCCTTCTATTCAATTCTCCTTGAAATTTCCTATACATTGCAATTATTTTTACGTATTGAGAACTTAATGTGTATGAAAATTCTTTGAAATGTCCTATCTATGATTTTTTTTCAATGAAATGTCATATATATTTATGATTTTGTTATCTATTAAATATTCTTCTATTAACTCTCTGTTTAAGAAATGTCCATTTATCAAATGACTTTCTATAAAAATATCCCAACACCATTTAAACCATAAAAGTTATTACATAAAACTTTAAATTTCCATTTAAATTTTTTAGAAAGTACAATGAGAACCAGAAACCTGTGGAATGGGATTTTTAAGCTTAAATTTCATTACTGTCGTCTTCTTATTCCACAGTTTTCTATGCTTTATACTGTACTGATCTTCATTGCATAATTTTATTTTAAAAATAGATTTTGTCCCTTTTTTCTCCTTTTTTATTTCTTTCTTTCAATTTTCTTTCAATTTTTTAATTTTTCTTTTTTGTCTTAAATAATGTGGGATGTGTCCCCTTTTTTGGTGAAAAATTGGGCACCGCACCCCATATCGACGGTCCTGGCGGGCATGGATACAATTTCAAGTAAAACAACCAGTATTCCTTGATTGATAATTCATGAATAAATGATAAAATTAACAATTTATTAAGAATACGTCATACGAGAACCAGCAATACCTACTATATAGGTCTTAGTCAATATTAGGACATTGTACAATACTATATATACGATGTATAGTATTTTGATCTGTGAGTAAGGCAACTTAGGCTAAAAATTGTATGTTATTGTTAATTAGAGTTCCATTTTACTGGGAAAAAATCATATTGGAAATGGAATGATCCGTAAATTGGAATTCCGGGAAAATTCTGGATGAAATAGAAACCGGAATTTTTCCGGTTTACGTGACTTAACCCGGAATTTTTTGTTCAGCCCTTACTTTTACAGTTTATCAGGACTATTTCACTATAGGTAAATTTGACCCCCCCCCCCCTTTAATCTGTGTGGAAAATCATGAGTATTTTGTTCAACCCTTGAACAAACAAGAAACTATCAAAACACCCATATTTACTGATCAATCCAGATCAATGCAAAGAATAAATTAAGAAAACTATTTCAAATATTTCTATAGATTGGCTAAACCTGCTTGAAAATGGGAGGAAACCAATTGAGAAATAGGAAAGGTGGACTCAAGACAAGGAAGAAAGGGGTAAAAGACCTTCAAATTGAATTGAAAAAAAATTAAAGTAAAGCTTTTTAATTTTTGTTTTAAATAAGTTAAATTTTTGCTATGTAGGTAAACAATCAATTTTCTTTTACTATTTCTAATGCAGAAATACCTAAGTCACTCTTTAAAGAAACTACAATTGAAAATAATCAGTTTTAACGGAAAAGATTATGGATTAAAAATTCAGGTTGAAGTGTTGCACCTAGAGAAGACTCCAAACCTGGATAATCTGATTCTAGGGAAATACAAAACTTTTGAAGAAATACCAAGAGAGGTAAAACTTAAGTATTTGCAAAGCTGGAAACTTTTGAATTCACGAGTTAACCTCATTCTCTCCTCGGGAGAGATTAACAAATCTCCTGACCAATAATTCATTGATGTATTTTAATTAATACCAAAAATTATCTTTTTAATTTTAAAATTTAACAAATATAATTCATTAACCGGCAAATATTTTTGATTAACAACATTTGGTCAGCATATTTATCAATACAAAATCGTTTACTAAAATTGTGGTATACTAAAGAGGCTAACATATATTTCAATAAAGTATACCGGTCCTGAAATGGCTACAGTGGTTACAGAGAGGTCGGCATATTTATTAATGAGTTAAAAGGTACTGAAATTGTATGTATCACCATCTCAGTGGCTGACGTACGGTACGTATTGATATTGATATGTATATTGAAATTGATGTATTGATACATATACTCACCACTTTTATGTTAGATAACATTTTTGGACCACATATTTTCCCCTAGATATCACTTACTCGTGAAGAGCATGATCTTCTCTTGGAGAACGAGTTGAGGAGGAACCCCTACAAGTACACGGTCAAACAGGTATTTACAGTATTATGAAAATTCACCAAAGAAAAGAAAACAAATCTTTTAAAAATGTAAAATTTGAATTTTTGATCTTTTCTTTAGTTCATTCTTCGGCAAAAGACATATTCTTTAATTAATTCTAATCAATCATTTAAATGAATTCAAGTTTTAATAAATTCAGTAATCCATTCCTAAATTAATCATGCAATTCTTTTTAAATCCTCATATAACTAAACTTTAGAATTTTTTTCTTCTAATCGTTTTTACAATTAGTTTTTTACAATAAGTTTATAATCTTCTTCATCTCTCCTTTAATTCACGAATGAAAACTTTTATCTTTACGTCAATCCATATTGAATTCATTTTTCCATTCATTAATCCATTCTTGAAACAATTCATTAATATGTTCTCCAGCCCGTTTTTATTACATTCCATTTTAAAATCCATTCTTCAATCCTATCTTTAATCCATTCCTCAATCCACTCTTTAATCCATTCTTCAATCCATTCTTTAATCCATTTTTCAATCCATTCTAAAATCCATTCTTCAATCCAATCTTTAATCCATTCCTCAATCCACTATTCAATCCATTCTAAAATCCATTCTTCAATCTATTCTTCAATCCATTCTTCAATCCATTCTTCAATCCATTCTTCAATCCAATCTTCAATCCATTCTTCAATCCATTCCTCAATCCATTCCTCAGTCCATTCTTTAATCCATTCTTTAATCCAATCTGCAATCCATTCTTTAATGAAATCCTCAATCAAATTTTCAATTTTCAATCCTCTTTCTAATTTAAACTTTTATTTTTAAATTTTAATTTCAGGTTTCAACCCTTGAGCTGATCCTGGTATCCGTCCTAGTTCTACTCCCGTCCTTGTTTTACTCCGCTATCCTGCTCAACCTACCAGAGAGTAAATGGGTTTATTCATCAACCTGGAGAACGGACTAATTATTGTATAAAGAATCTGCCCTACCTATAATTGTCCTATGGCGTACCCCACACGCCCAGCCTATGCCCCGCCTTGAAGAATAATTACGACTAATTAATAAATCTATTCATTGAATATATTTTCTTGTCTCTAGATCTGAAATATATTCTGAGATAAATTACGCCGAGCAAAACATTGAATAGACCTCGTTCCGGGTACTCAGGGTGCATCATTAGTATTCCATATTATTCCCTGTGAGAACCTGGCCAGGACTAAAAAGGAGGCAGGATATTTGTTTGATCTTGTTCCATATATGTTGGGAGGAAGTTTGGCATGTCAGCTCATCTCTCCATGTATTACAGTTAGTATAAAAACTCATGCAAAACCAAGAACTCTGCTCCCTTGTCTCATTAGCATACATGTGAACAATGTTTTTTTAACTTCCAGAAATTTAAAATAAATACTTTTATTCCACATTTCTTAAAATGATTCAGGATATTTTCATTTCACAGATTGAGGTCGTATTGTATCTTTGTTTAAATGGACTTTAGACGTAATTTCTAGTGACTCATAATTTGCCTGCCCAATTCACAACGGTACCCTGTAAACATTTATCTTAGGAATGCAACTATGAGGAAGATATTGTCTTTTTTTCAATTTGGAAAAGTCTAAAATTTTGACAGTTTTCTTCTTTGTCTCTCCATCAAAAATTCTCAAGTCACTGGTAAAAAGAAGCCACAATCCATCAATTTTTAAATAAAACCAATATTTCTTCATCAATTTTCCTCGGACGAAGGTTTATGTACCGTTGTAAATCTGGCATTCATATCTTTACATGGATTCCATGGATGATGGAGGGTCACTTGAAATATCGTCGAAAGGTCGATAGGCTAAAACTTGTGGCTGGGATAGTGCATAAGCACTTCAACTGAACTCATATCCACAGAATAATCTTTTATATTAAATGATTTGATTTAATTCCATGTTTAATTCCTGAGATAAACGAGAAATAAGTGATTAAAAAAGACTGTGTCTGACGAATAGAATTAAATGACCTGTGGCCGAATTTAAAGAATTGTATCAAGTGTTTCAAGATTTAAGCCGGCGCTTAATTTAAACCGGATTTTGGCGGATTTAAACCGCGGCTCAAATTCTTTAAATTTAATCTCAGGGGAGACAGGAACCGACTGAGCGTGTTATGAACAGATTTAAAAGTTGTGACCTGTCTAGATTAAGTTATAGTATATTAAACCAGCCCTGGACGGAGATGTTGTACTTTAGGAAGATCATGAACAAATATTACCAACATCAAACAATGACATATATCCGTCCTGACTCGGAATTTAATGAATTGGAGAGAGGTCGTTGAACTGCCCACGGCAGGTCAAAATTATGAATTACCGATTCAAAGATATAATTCATGAGGATTTGAACCGGCGGTAGGTTATTCAGCGACCTCTCAAATTCATGGAATTCGGTTCCTGTCCTATATTGCATGCATTGATTGAAGTATTTTATTTTGGTAATTTTATGTGTTATTGTCGTGAGTCATGTCGTATTTAATAATGAATTGTTTGTGAGATAATAAATACTTGAAAGCTTGCTTTCCTTCCATGGTACATTATTCAATAGTTAATCAATAAAATGGGCTGGCCGGGCCAAAATATAACGCTAATAAAACCAAAATAAAACCAAAGAAAATTATAAGCATTTTTGACTAAAAATATAATCATTTTCTACAATAATACAATTGTGCTTTTGTGTTTAAGTGTGCAACGTGTAAGTGCATGTAAATGTGCAAAGTGTGTGTGTGTGTGTAAATGTACAAAGTGTGTGTAAATGTGCAAAGTGTGTGTAAATGTGCAAAGTGTGAGTAATCAAGCATCGATCAAGATCATTTTTGCCTAGATTCTTCCTCCGAGGTTCCCAGCAGGAGATCTAGTATTAAACACTCTGCTGGATTCAATTCATCCTATTCAGGATACACTATACATCATCATCCTTACCAACCCTTTCAATCTGCAAACCATTTAACATTAGGTTTTGGTTTGGTTTGGTTGAAACAAGAGATATTTTCTTTATGAGACAGTTAACGGCACAAACTTGCAACTCATGTATCTGATGCTTTTGATACATTTGATATAATCATCTGATATAATTATATCAAAGCAACCCTTTATACTGGACATTTGTTATGCATGGGTGACAGACACGACGTCTAGTTGGGTTCCGTTGAATAAATTCTCGTGTAATAATACAATGGAAGCTAGTTACGCTAGACACTCACATGTGGTTTTATCGCCATTTTGTTCTTGTCAGCCATTTTTTTGCCCGTGTTACGATTTTTAACAAAAAGCACGTCTGCTGTGTAGAAACAAAATTAGTGTAAAAAAGGTTATTTTGTTATTATTAAATATGTACTTATATATACTTATATCTAGGACTAGATAGTAATTTATTATAAATGTATTGTATACATATGAATATGAGCTTGCATAGTTGCATGAGACTATATGAGATACATATACCAGGGAACCACCCACCCACACTATACACACATACAGTACCAACACAATATATCATAATATACCATCAATCCTTTTCAGTCCTTCAAAACCCTTCGCATATAGGTCTGTTTTCAGTCCTTCAAAACCCTTCGCATATAGGTCTGTTTTCAGTCCTTCAAAACCCTTCGCAAATAGGTCTGTTTTTAGTCCTTCAAAACCCTTCGCATGTAGGTCTGTTTTCAGTCCTTCAAAACCCTTCGCAAATAGGTCTTTTATCAGTCCTTCAAAACCTTTCGCATATAGGTCTGTTTTCAGTCCTTCAGAATCCTTCGCAAATAGGTCTGTTTTCAGTCCTTCAAAACCCTTCGCATATAGGTCTGTTTTCAGTCCTTCAAAACCCTTCGCATAAAGGTCTGTTTTCAGTCCTTTAAATCCCTTCGCAAATATGTCTGTTTTCAGTCCTTCAAAACCCTTCGCATATAGGTCTGTTTTCAGTCCTTCAAACCCCTTCGCATATAGGTCTGTCTTCAAGTCCTTCAAATCCCTTCGCATATAGGTCTGTGTTTAGTCCTTCATATAGGTCTGTTTTCAGTCCTTCAAACTCCTCTCTTATTAATATAATTTTGTTTATAATTGTCCTTCAAAATCTCCCTATACACGAAGGGTTGTTTTTAATCCTTTAAAACCCCTATTATAATGGTTTGTTTTAGTCCTCTAAAATCCCTTCTTAAAATGCAAAGGTTTGTTTTCAGTCTTACATAGTTTTGTTTTAAGTACATATTGTTAGTCGTAACTCCTTTAAAACCCCCGTTTTGAAAAGGTTTACTTTAAATCCTTCAAAACGTTTTTTTTACAAAGTTTTTTTAAAAAACCTTTAAAGGGCATTTTACCGTGATAAATGAGATATTCTTATTTATCTAGCTTTAGATTGATTATTTTTAATTGTGGTTTCTCTATTAAGTTGACTGCTAGATGCAGAGAACGTGATAGAAATTGTGATAATTCAATACGTTTGAAAGGACAATATCTTCCAAAGGGTTACTCAGATACCGATTTCAAGAGTGTGAATCCAACATTCATTCTGAATTAATGGTGGGTCACATCTTCTCAACACTCTACAGACCCTTTAAACTTTTTAAACCCCTTTTGAAGAGGTCAAATTGTCATAATTCCTAATTTCCTTTAATTTTCTTTGCATCTTTTTTCATTGATCAACCTACTTTTACATGTATGATTATTGAAACAATAATTACAATAAATGTGGTCTGTTTTTTAAATACTGTCAATATTATCAGATCTACTAATGATTTCGTTCATATTTAAATTTATTAAATAAAAATAAAATTGCCGAAATCTAAACAAAGATCTTCATATCTCCGGTAATACTTTAGGCACAAAAAGGCAGACGACATTTTAAAAAATGTCAGGACTTTTTTGAAATTTTACTTCGAAAATTATGTTTACGAATGCCGCGCAAATTATTTCAAAGATCAAAGATGACCTTCAAGTGGTCCTGTTACGTTACGTCGTTTTAAGTGCAATTGTATATAAAACAAATAACAAATATTATGAAATATTAACTATATAGGAATGCGTCGAAAAATAATCAATGACTATATAGGTTGTAATATCTGAATGATTTGTTTGAAATTAAATTGATTTTTTACGATCCTAGCCGTATATATGCATATGAATTTGTATGTACGCTACGTTCTTCAGTAATTAGTCGTTTTTTACAATTTTCTCCTTATAGACGCAATATAAGTAAGATTAGTAAGCAATCAACAGCGATTATTTTTCGCCGTTAGCCCATACCCCTTTTATTTTTCGCGAACACTCCCTTTGATGGAACGCAGTGTTCTACAAGATTCATTAAAAGTCGAGCGTAGACCTTTCATTGATAGTGTGCTAAGTCCGATTAACAAGGGTACCCTAGCTAGCTTTGGCTAATCAAGAATGCATGAGATATTAATAATCTTCTCTTAGAAAATTGATTATTTTAAATAGTAAATCGTGGTTCTTTTATAAAGTTACTTGAGCATTTCTTTTTAAGAATCAATGGAGGAAATTTCAGAATTAAACACTTTTCATGCTAGGAAAACTACGATATCTTTCGCATTATTGGTCAAACAAAGGTTTAAAGAGTACCATTGTGAATCGGGCATACCTTATTTTTTCATAATAAACAAAGAAATCCCAAATAGCTAAATTGTGTTATCTTTGTCCCCCCTTCCCTTCTCCCAGCCTGTGTGTGTGTGTGTAAATGTACAAAGTGTGTGTAAATGTGCCTATAGACGTAAACACTAAACAGTAGAAATACCCGACTTTTGAAAGTACATTTTNCCCCCCCTTACGGGCCATCTATCCATTCTAACTCATACCGTGATTCCTTCACTTCCTTCCTATCCGTTCGTCTTTCCCTTTCCTTTCTTCTTTTCCTTTCCTTCCGTGCCTTCCGTTCCGTTCCTTTCCATCCGTTTCTTTCCTTCCATTTCTTTCCTTCCGTTTCTTTCCTTCCGTTCCTTTTTTACTTTCCTTTCCTTCCGTTCCTTTCCTACCATTCCTTTCCTACCGTTCCTTTCCTCTACATACATTTTTTCCCTTTCTTTCATGTTTCTCTAACTACATTTCCAAACAATGTTCCTTCAAAAGTCAGGCGAATGGTAGAAGAAAATATTTTACAAAATATGTTCCTAATATAACTTATCAAGTTTATTATCCTATGTATATGTACATAATCTGTATTCATTTGTAATTAGAAATAGAAAAATGTGAATAGATAACTTGTCATTTTCAATTTTTTAAGACGAGAGAAGTTTATTTTACATCAGTAATAATCCCGAAACCTCTCTTCATTTGGCAGAAATATTCAATGCATTTAATTCCGACGCACGCCAGGATATTCCAGGAATTTGACCGGGATACCGGAAATAGCATTATAGGAACTTTTGAAATTTAAAGTTGGTCCA